TTTAAAAATCAAAATAGCTCTTCAGATAGTCCATTGACCCCCAATTTTTATATCATGGTTGGAAAAAGCATGAGTTGGAGATATGAATTCATGTCTCATTTGATCCTCAATTAACTCATGACGTCATCATAATGGCCTCCGAACTCAAAATTTCAATTTGCATATTATGACGTCAGCAGATTTTTGAAAAATTGATTGTATCTCTGTAAATATTGATCAATTTTCTTTCAAATTTTGATATGTTCTACCTGAGAATATTCTCTACAAAGGCAGTTAACACAATATTTCATTTTGACAATGGTATCATGGCGTATTTTTGCGATTAAAGGAGGCATGTCAATTTTTCACATTTTGCGTGTATTCTCTATGGGACATGACTTTTTCTCAAAACTGGATTCTACATTCTCGTCTTTCGCGAGCCATATCTCCGTCGTTTTATCTTTGTTTACGCTGAGCTTTGAGTGTGTTGTAGCTGAGACAATAAGCTATCACAAGTGTGCCCTTTATTTCTCGATCAGATGCCGGGATCATGCTCATATCTCACATACAAAGTGGGATTTGATAATTCCATTTTCCGTTTACGTGTAATCTCTATGGGAAATGTTTTGGTATATCGGTAACGCACTTGACTTCCGACCTCGAGGTCCCTGGTTCGAGTCCGGGCGTCTCCAACAATTTTTTTTCTTCACTTTTTTTTCTTTTTGACCTTTCACTCTACCATCTCCTTTGAATATTAAAACACGTACAATTGCAAATAATGTAATAAACAACCATATTTACTTTATTATTACCCTATTATCACTAGATCCATTACTTTTGGCGTGTAATCCTTATGGGAGATGACTTTTTCTCAAATCTGGATTCTACATTCTTGTCTTTTGCGAGCAATATCGCTGTTATTTCTGCTTGGTTTTTGTTGATTTTTGAGTATGTTGTAGCTGAGACTATACGCTATCTAAATGTTCTCTAATTTTGTTCAGTCTGATGTCATCGTGGTCTGTTGATGATAATCATCAACATCATCATGATCATCATGATCATCATCATCGTCATCCCCATTACTATCAAGATCATCATCATCATGATCATCATGATGATCATCATTGTTTACATGTCTATATAACTTCTCCCTTTCTCAATATAGTAAATATTATAATCTCTCATAAGACTTGAAGACAGACCACCTAATTCGTCCCCATGACGAATTAAATTTCTAGTTTATTTTTATTTCTTCCGTACACTTTTTTTGTGTATACGTTTACTCGAAATCGACTTGGTCAAATTCCTTCAAATTTCTGATAGTCATTAGGCCCTATAATATCAAGTTCCCGAAACCTTTTTCAAGTTCATGGGGTCATCGTGACGTCATCCAGGCGCCATTTTGTAAAAATCAAGTCATTATCATATCTCGATAACGAGTCTTCAAAAATAAACCATATTTGGTATACATCAACTTCAGGTCAAAGTTCAACTAAAAATGTCAACAAAATTTGCGCGCGCACCTCGACGCGCACGTACGCGCGCATTAAAATTTTAAAATGCTCAAATTCGTTCCAAATTTTTTTTGCACACGTTTCAGGCAATTGTAAGCATTTTCAAGATTTTGCGCGAGAGCACTTTTTTGCGCGCGTTTCCGCGCGTAAGTGCGCGTACTGACATTTTACAACATGGAAACGCCAAATTTTCTCTATCATATCAACCACATTTTTCCAAGCATTTTGATACCTTGTTCACCTTTTTCTGACCAGTGATAACGCAATGAGCGTCCGTCAAAGTTTACAGCACACGCGGATCTGCATTATCCCTATCCACATTACATGTGCAAAAACAAGCCTATACAAAATTCATTTTAACTCTTCAGAATGGATAGATACCCCCAATTTTTTTCATATTTAGATAGATCATGAGTCGGAGATATGATTTCATGTCTCATTTGACCCTCAATTAACTCATGACGTCATCATAATGGCCTCCGAACTTAAAATTTCAATTTGCATATTATGACGTTAGCAGATTTTTGGAAAATTGATTGTATCTCTGTAAATGTTGATCAATTTTCTTTCAAATTTTGATATGTTTTAGCTGAGAATATTTTCTACGAATGTATTTCACACGATATTTCATTTGAACAATGGCATCATGGCGTATTTTTGCGATTAAAGGAGGCATGTCAATTTTTCACATTTTGCGTGTATTCTCTATGGGACATGACTTTTTCTCAAAACTGGTTTCTACATTCTTGTCTTTCGCGAGCAATATCTCCGTCGTTTTATCTTCGTTTACGCTGAGCTTTGAGTATGTTGTAGCTGAGTCAATATGCTATCGTAAGTGTGCCCTTTAATTTTCGATCAGATGCCGGGATCATGCTCATATTTCACTTACAAAGTGGGATTTGATAATTCCATTTTCCGTTTACGTGTAATCTCTATGGGAAATATTTTGGTACATCGGTAACGCACTTGACTTCCGACCTCGAAGTCCCTGGTTCGAGTCCGGGCGTCTCCAACAATTTTTTTCTTCACTTTTTTTTTCTTTTTGACCTTTCACTGTACCTTTTCCTTTGCTTATTAAAACACGTAGAATCACAAATAATGTTATAAACAACCATGTTTACTTTATTATTCCCCTATTATCACTTGATCCATTACTTTTTGAGTGTAGTCCCTATGGGAGATGACTTTTTCTCAAATCTGGATTCTACATTCCTGTCTTTTGCGAGCAATATCGCCGTTATTTCCGTTTGGTTTTTGTTGATTTTGGAGTATGTTGTAGCTGAGACTATATGCTATCTAAATGTTCCCTCATTTTTTTCAATCAGATGTCATCATGGTCTGTTGATGATCATCATCAACATCATCATGATGATCATCATCATCATCAACATCGTCATCACCATTACTATCAGGATCATCATCATCATGATCATCATGATGATCATCATTGTTTACATGTCTATATAACTTCTCCCTTTCTCAATATAGTAAGTATTATAATCTATCATAAGACTTGAAGACAGACCACCTTAATCGTCCTCGTGACGATTTAAATTCTAGTTCTTATTTTTTTCGACCAGTTTGTGGCGCGGCGGAGCTCCCTAGAGATTAATAATCAGTTATGCATTGTCATTGCTCAGACGGCGAGCGTGCACGAGTATGAAATCACACAATTTCGCGCCATCATAAGAAAGAACAAATTGGTAATTTCCGGGTTTTTAGGGTCTTAATTATTATGATTATAAAGAAAACATGATTTTGCGTCAATTAGGTTTTGACATTATTTTGATCAGTGACTTTTCATCTTTCCAACGAATCTCAACGTAAACAAATTAATTATGTACCAAAGTCAGGAACCAAAAGCGAAATTCCGGGTACAAAATAGCTGTTGCAATGTTACAAAAATAACGACCATAAAAGTGGTGAAAAAAGATTGTTTCAAAATTGTGAAATATGGCAAGTTTCATATCAAACTGAAGCTGAAGATCTTTAGAGTAATTACCGTTGCGTGCTGCCATGTTGACTAAAGATATCGACCACAAAAGCAGCTGTTTGTACACCCTTACAAATCTCACGGAAAATCTCGTGAATTTCAGCACACGTGAATGCACGAGATTACCAAAGAGACGCTGAATAAAAATCAGCGTACAGCCTCATTATCGCGCACGCTGTGGTCTGACTGAAAAGGAGAGGAAGAAAGGAAAAGAAAAGAAAAGAAAAGAAAAGGACAAGAAAACATGGAAAGAAAAAAGTCAAGAAAAGAGAAAAGAAAAGGCTGAAGACAAGGGAAAAGGGACACAAAATAGAATATAGGAAGATTACGGTAAATCTTGCCGGCACGGCGTCGGGACAAGTCGGTGAAAAACTAGAAATGAATTATTATTGTCTTACTGCTGCTAATACTGCTCCTACTACATGTACTAGGAAGAAGGAGGGAAAGAGCCGGGAGAGAGGAAAAATCTTATTTTTTATTTTCTGTATTATCGAGGCATACAAAATAATGCACAGGGAGGTAAGAGAGGGAAAAGTAAGGCGATAAAGAAGGAGAGAGGTAGATAGAGAGAGAACGAGAGGGGGTAGTCTATGGTCCGGGTTCAAATCTAGTTCTCTTTTGTTTATTAGACCCAGTACTAATGATCATTATTGTATCTACCATGTAATTGCCATGTGTACGCCACACCGAATAGCACTTCACTTTTGTTTATTGTTGTAAAGAACTTATTGGCATGCACCCAGTAGATTTTCATCATGTGTTTGATCTTGTAATTGAAAACAAGATCAAACAAATTGAATTGAATTGAAATTGAAAATCTTTCAGGAAGCCTAGCAATAAAAGCTGTTTTTTTTTATTCAAAGAGCATCGTAGAGACGATGAACAAATAAGAATAATAACACAACGTCATAAGCGTTAGACCGTTCACTTCTATCACTCCCCGCGAAATAGTCCGAACAAAAGAATCAACCGAGGGTAATCAACTGTTAAACGAATTTATTACGAGTCCTTGAAAAATTAATTAATACTGCTTGTCACGTATTATTGCAGAGCAGCATAGACGAACGCGATTGTCGTTACAATTCAGAAATCGTTGCTTCGATTGCTTTTCTCTCAAAATTACCATGAGATATCAAGCGTCATAGAACTATGATCGACAAAAAAGATATTGTCTTGAAAACAGTCAGAAACATTAGAACTTGAATGAATAGAACATAATGCAAACGAATAAGACTAGAATGAATAGGGCACAAGTTCATGTTTACCATTTAAACCATCCAGTACCAAATACCTAAGCAAAATTCGAGCCAGATGCATTTAATGGTAAGCGTAAAGACAATGATTCGTGATGAATGTCATGAGTTTATCGTCTAGACGTATGGCAAAAGATAATCAGGATAATAAGGATCAGATTGATACCTACATGTATACTACTACAAGGCCTACTTCTACATGTACTATACTAAACTACTGCCATTGTATAAATTATGCTGTTAATACAGACAAGAAATTACCTCTTGATACAGATGACAATAATGATATTGTAACGAAACCCGTGCGCTGTCGAATCCTTCCAACAGCTTATCTTGTCAGGATACCTTCTGCTGGTAGGTTTTCCTAGTACGGTACCAATTTCGCCGTAGATCCGTTTGGCAGAGATATACTGCCCCGTTGACGTCGCACCACCTCTCGACCACTCCAGCAAAGCATAGAGAGTCAATGCTAAAGCGTATTGACCTCTAGACTAGCACTGCATACATGCTGTAAGGCAGGGACCTAGAAGTCTATACACAAATATACACACCACACAATATCGCATAGACTGTACACAATCATGTCGATGCAGCTGTAAGCAAAGTTTGACACTAGACTTACAATTTGAATTTTTAAATTATTCTTTTTAACATCAGTAAGTTGAAAAAAATGTATTTTACTGCTATTTAGGTGTCATCAATTGTCACTAAAGTACCAATTTTTAGTGAAATGAGTTGAGTTTTGTACAGTGGTGTTTCAAATGTTGAGAATCAAAAGCACAGCTTTTACTACACAGCCAGGATAGTGATGCTCCTATGTGTGCTCTCGACCACCGTCCAGTTGAAACTACCAGACCGTCACAGGTCTGCACTTCACCATAGTCTACCCCAGATCACCGAAAGAGCAACCCAGGCCCCCTGGTATTGTCTAGTGCTGGAATGCAGAATACTCAACAAAAACAATTCTAACCATGGTCGTTCACCGAAAATCAGACATCAATCTTAGGCTTCCTCATGGAAAGACATGCAAACGATCATATCAATCATTTCGTTTGCACGCAACCTTATCGGGCAAAATATCCAAACATAGTCTGAATACTTTACAGTGTAAATGTGCCCAGTGGGCGACAACAATTATGTAGACTGACAGGAAACTCTTCTCGACACGAGACACTTGATCTATATACACATTTCTTAAATATTTGTTATTCTCGTTGGGTTTCCAAGAATTACATAAACATTGGTATGACTTCACTTTCCAATATCAGATCGAAAAAACCATACATCGAAAGCACTAGTTTCAATCTATAAAACTAAACAGGAAAGAACAAGTAATTATTTATGGTAGAATAGTAATTAGACTAAAACTGTCGAAAACATGCACGATCAAACATTTCTTGAAATTGACACGGGACTATATATATATATATATATATATAGCATTGTATATCTAACTGGAATTACGCCATCTACGCCGAAGATATGAGCATACAAATTAAGACAAGTGATTTTCTTGACTCCAAACATATCTATCTACGAAATAAAACCAATTTCGTGACAATATGATAACAATTATAATAATACTACTTATATTAGATGAGCTGTAAACGAAATTAATGGACGCGCTGTAATTTTGTTTTCACGAAGTGACGGCTCGTAGCCGCGTTAAACGTACGGGATTTTTCTCTCGTGGCTGGATTTCCCGAAACGTGGGCTCTAGTCAGCCCAGACAAAACACAGATAGGCCCCATAATTTGCTATCTGGGTAGGTATCCTGTCGAAGGACTATGGCAAAGATGGAATCGGGCTATGTACAGACACGATGGGCTAGCAGTCTTTAAGAACATCGCTGGATGCAGAGCCGATCGGATCAGGAAAAGCATGACGAGAACATTCCAAAAGCTTGGCCTAAAAATCACGATTGTTTGCAACCTTAAAAACCACCAACTTCCTCGACATCACCTTAAATCTGAGTGATGGCAAGTACTACCCTGACAGGAAGCCAAATGACTGCCCAACGTACATCCACAAGAAGCTATCCAACCACACACAAAATGTCAAGCTCTCTAGATACGAACTCCGTATCTGCAGCCTGCTTTGAGGGGCGTATGAATCGCGACTTCGTATCTATCCGAACATCGTATAAACGATGTTCACACAGGGAAAATGTTCTTTAAAGGTGTTTAAAACTGTTGAGTTAAACATGTTTATACTAATCATCTCTAGATACCATGAATTTTAGCTGTGTGTGAAAAGGTTGCATGTCACATTAGCATGCCTTATTCAATATATCACGACGAGAGGATTTTACATGTTTGACGTATATCCCTCTCATCCAGGCGCGTATGCAGGGAGGGCGTTGGGGATCGAACCCCCCTCAATTTGTGTTATAATGTGTGTGTTTTGGAAGAACCCCCCCCCCCCCAGCTTATTCACCGGCTGGCTGAGTCGTTGCGAATTTTTCCCTCAAACCCAGGACCCCCCCCCCCCCCCCCAAAAAAAAAAAAAAAAAAAAATGTGCTGTTACCCCCCCCCCCCCCCCCGCTTTTCAGCGGCTGGTTAAGTCGTTGCGAAAGTTTCGGCGCGATTTTCAAACTTTAACCCCCCCCCCCCCCCCCCCTCGAAAAAAAATCCTGGGTATGCCACTGCTCTCACCTCACACGACACACAATCACTCAAAGCAGCAAAATATAACCGTAAACGACTAAAATTTACCCATGACTGGTCGTTTCATCTCCCATTCACCAACAGTACTCATAAAGAATGCACATTCGCATACACACACATAATCATGAATATATATTTATATTAACAATATTTCAAGTCCGACAAGCCTGAAGGGTTAAGTAGATTTAAACTGATATTTTTCAAGAATCCTGGACACGAACTGTGTCCGCTCTCCCATGAATTGCTTTTTACTACCGAGTTCAAATTTCAAGTGGTTCTTGAGATATCGCGACACCTAAAGGTAGTGTAGGCCTATTTAATTCCTTATATTTAAAGAGCGAGTAAAGCGTATAAAAGTATGCATGTACTCATTTTTTAAATCCAGAACCAAGATCAGATCTATGGAAAACTATCCTGCACCTGATCTTGCCATCCTGCATAATTTGCAGAGGTTTTACTTACCACTTACATACATGTGATGTATTGAACTTCTTAGTTTTCTTTCAGAAACAGCAGCAGCTTCATTCGGGTGTATGAGTCCAGATCAGTTCAGTTTAGTTCAGTTTAGTTATTTCATGCAACGATCCCGAACAATCTTTTGAATAGCCTCTACTGTTGTTGTTGTTTTAGTTTTCATGGCGTCTATCATTGATTTATGAATATCTACCAACGGCGGTCTGAAAAGTCCAGATTTAGTCCGTTCTGTTTTTATTCTTCTATCACACGCATCGATCCCAACAAACAGCGCGGTCTCTCCACTGAACGCCCAATCCCCCAAATTTCCGTCCACACGAACTGTAGTCCAGAATCTGGCCTATTTAATTTTGATCTCCACCACACCAACGCTACCTCTCCCTACTTACTTGCTACCAGCCGATGATGGCGTGATCATTAAATCAGGACGCTGAGCTGGTGAGCATAATTATGAGTTTGTTGATAACGCCATCTTCGACGGCTTGAATCAAGTGTGTAGGGAAATTATAAAGAACCGTGCAGATACTGGACTACACGAACGGCAGCGGAAAAGTACGTAATGAGCCAAAGTGATTGTCAGATTACTCGTCCAATCAGCGTACATCGAACATGTATAGGTTTGTGGGTGAAGTTAATCTCCCCTGGAAAGTCGGGGAAGAATGGCAGAATCGTCTGGACTGTTAGGCCTTTAAAAAAAGATGTTGTATTGCCCTTTGCGACCGACCCCAAAATCTTTAAAATCGACGGTCGGTTGTTACCGTTTTTTTAGAAGAAGGAAAAAAATGTATTAAAGCATTAAAAGCTCAAAAATATCAGCCTAAAGAGGAAGTACAAAAAAAAAGATTAAAAAAAAAAAGATTTCCGACCGACCGACCAACGCTTTGCCACCTAAAGGGCAATACAACATTTTTGTTAGGCCTTATCGGGGTCCATAAGACGCGTTCAGAATGACAGGAATGGCTAGGTCTACTTTAAACGTTGAGGCCTTGAGGGTGTGTTATTTTATCAGCTGATTGGGTGCGCTACACGGAAACAGTACAGAGGCTGGACTACGATGCTTACCTCTCTCCTTTGCTCTTTGAAGTATCTCTCCAGCTGATTTATAGCTAGTTCTGTCTTTAAAGGTACTGTGTCCCTTTTGCAGCCAACCTCAAATGTTGTAGAACTTTGCAGGAATTACGAATGTGTCATGTATTTGCTATCTGTAAAATTTAAACGTTAGCAGTGTCCTCATATTCAAATTATGCAAGGAAACCCGTTTACTTGCTAGACTTCACTGTCAGACACTATTGAGTGACTGACTGGCTTTTTTCTTCTTTGGTAATAACATACATGAAAAGAGTTGTAAAGGGTACATGAGCATTTGTCTACATCAATAACCCACTTCTTGTGAAAACCAAGATTAAACTGATTGAATCTTTGCGCAGCATAAAACGTATGACCATTCGGTACAATTGTCTGATAATCAAGACTATTACTTTTGGGCTCTATAGCCCTAAAGTCGATTTGACAACTAATAGTCGTTATCTTCCCACTTGAAGACGTTTTCAAGCCCCACCTTTTTTAAGGAAGTTCTAAATTAGTATTATCTTTCAAATGCAGTTGGAATTTAACTTTTTCATTTTTTTGGCCTGCAAATGGGACATAGTACCTTTAAAACGCATTGAATATTGAGAAAGATGAAAATCGTATCCGGACACCTACCCCCTGGACATCCAAACCCCGGATAACCAGCTATCCCCCCCCCCCCCCCCTCCCCGGGACAACTACTCCCGGATAACTACCCACAGACAACTACCCCTAGGATAGTTTTCCGGTGGGTAGTTGTTCTAGAGGATGGTTGTCAGAGCTGTCTGGTAGCTGACTGGGGGTAATCGTACGGGGGTAGTTGTCCTAGGGGATATCAAGAGAGATATCATGTAGAGCAAAAAAGCTAACAGGCTATGGCCGCTACTCTTCTTCTCCCTCGCACTAGGTGCTTTATGAATGAAGTTTGTTTTACCCATAGGAAACCCAGAGTAATCATGAAACCTAAAGAGTGATTATATAACTTCCTTGAGCAAACATTCACCAGTAAGCAAGCAAAGACTCTGATTTGACACTTAAACACAATTCAGTCTTGATATGAGCAGAGATTTGCTCTGTTAGTCTCTAGTTGTGTCAACATTAGGAGCAGACTCGGCCCAGTATTAGTCCGGGAAGTCCGGGAAGTCCGGGAGCCAGGGGAGCTCAACCTAGCTGGAAAGGAACCCAATTTTCATGTGTCGCGGATGAAACACATATGAGAAGATTCGCCGTAGTCTCGAGGTACGTGAATGGGCAATGCAAGACGTTTTAAGTGGTGGAAGGTGCCTGCCAGCCGCCCCAAAAGAGGTCAAAATATGGAGCTAGATCAGCTGGAAAGAAAACCCCATAAAACCAATGGGAAATTGTTCGGCAGAGTCCACAGATACACAAATAACCATTGCCAGACGATTTAAGT